TCACCCATGCCCCCCCCCCCCCCGGAGGTTGCAACCTCCCACTTACCGATAACCGGCCATACTTAGTTACCTCAATGGGCCGGATTCTCCCTACGGCAAGCATGACTATTGATTTTATATGTTTTAATGTGTTTTAAATTTTATTGTATTTATCAAAATGTTGTGACCCGCCCTGAGCCCATTTACGGGGTGGGCAGGATATAAATGCAATAAATAAATAAATGATTCAAGGTGGGAGAAGTTGTTATGGGCCTGAGTCCTCTTCCTTAGGTGCCCAAAGGGTCACACGTAGCTTGCCACTGGAGTATGTATGCACATGTTTGCATAAGGGCATGAGGAGAAGGTGTGTGTGTGTGCATGAACCTGTGTCGAGGGTTAGTTGTTTCCTGTCATGAAATCTCCTCTCCTGGTCCCTCTGGAGCTCAAGTGGTGCTGCTGAGAAAGCTGGGAGCTGCAGCTCATGTGCACCTTTCTTGGTTGATTCAAATGTGTATACCCCGTCTTTCCCTGTGTCTCCTACAAAATACCTCCCCCCCCCCAAAGATGTGTGTGGCCTAAACCCCATTTGCAGCCACAGCCAACAGACGGGCCTTGTAGCACCTCCTAGAGCTTTCGAGTGGTGGCCCCACAGGATCCGGTGGCTTCATCCCGGCTTCTTTCGGGAGGCCTGCTGCCCATGGCATTGAGCCTCCCCTCCAAGCTCCAGTCAAAGTTCAGAAATGGCCCCCCGGACACTCCTGACCACCGCCCCCCCAAAAAAAACACAGGGGAGGAAAGAGATGCACTTTATTGGGGTTTGGCTCAGGCTGAAAGTCCACTGCCGTGATATGGGCTACGTCTGCTGTGAAGGAATGGACTTGCAAAGCCCCCCCCCCCCCTTTCTTTGGGTTGGGACCCAGGAGGAAGTCAGAAGAACCCCACAGCTGTCCCAGGTCCCTGTTTGGCACTGCCGCCATCCCTTACTCCACGGAGGTGCCAAGAACCAACTGGGTAACCCCCACAGCCACCAGTGACCCTGGGAGTATCTCCTGCTCCTCGGAACGGTACCTCTTGCACTTTGTACCTGTGTTGCTGCTACGAGTCCCCACTCAGCTGTTGCACCTCCTGCTTTGTGGCTACAAGCCCACACTGGGGCAGTCTATTGCAACGCAGTCCTCCCAGTGTTGAGATATTGCGCTCCAGGGACGGGGAGCTTAACCCCTGCCCCTCCCCGTGAATCCCACTTCAGACAGCAAGACTGAATAAGTGTGGTGTGCTGACAGAGATCAGATTTAGAGCATTCAAAATACAATAATAAATGAATGAAAAGAATATCGTGCAGGCTAAACAAGGGTAGAGCGGATGGGGGTGGCTCCCGCCCCTCCTCCAGCACAGCAGTCTTTCCCATTGGGACCCATCCAAGCCACTTCCACGACTAGTAGTCCCGAGTCTCTGGGTGTTGGGAGAGAAGGAACGACCCACCTTCCGCCAGCGGGTGAAGACTTTTTGCCTTTAGTCTGGCGTTCCCTCAATGAGCCCTCCTTCCCGCCTTATGTTGTAATTGCCGTCTCCGTGTCTGTATCTTAGTGTTGGCTTTATGGTGTGTTTGGTATATTTATAATGATAATTATTTGTTTTGGCAGCCACCTTTGGGTGGCCCTGATGGGGCAGAATGGTGGGATGCAACTGTTTTTTTAAATATATAAAGTTTTATTAGTTTATATATAGAAAGGGGGGAAGGGAAAAGAAGGGAAAAGAATTTTTGTTGTTCAGAATACAGAGTTATATATAAAAGCCAATTTGACATTCTGCATGTGAATCTTCTCATAAAAGTTTCACAACTATTATATCCATCTTTCTTAATGTTCTTCATTTAGTCTTAGTTTCTCAGTACTTATGCTTTAACCAGTCATAGAACACCCTCCATGGTCCCGTAAATTCTTCTTCCATTTTTCCTTTTAGTATATTTGTCAATCTGTCCATTTCAGCACATTCCATAACCTTCGTTATCAATGCATCGAGCTTGCTGCAACCGTTGTTGCCCAAATCCCTGACTTCTCCCTGCTCCCCCTTTTGATTGCAGGACCCTCTTCCAGGACAACGTCCAGACAGTCAGCATGTACACCGGGGACCTGAAGAAGCAGCTGATTCCCTTCGCCACAGAGCTGCACGCGCGGCTGACGGAGGAATCCCGGAAGCTGAAGGAGCAGATCCAACAGGAGATGGAGCAGCTCCAAGCCCGGATGTCCCCCTTTGCCGATGACGTCCACCAGCAGATCAGCAAGAACATCCAGGAGCTGCAGACCAAGCTGGCCCCTTATGCGGAGGAGCTGGGTGTGCAGGTGGAGAAGAGCACCGCAGACCTGCGCCAGCAGATGGTCCTCCTGAGGCAGAATGTGCAGGCCAAGCTCGAAGAGAACATTGGCAGCCTCCAGAGCTCCCTCACCCCGTACGCCGACGAGCTGCAGCAGCAGATCAACCAGAAGGTGGAGGACACCAAGAGGCAACTGGCCCCCTATGCCGACGAGATCAAGGCCAAGGTGGACGAGAGTGTGGAAGAGCTGCGCAAGAGCTTGAGCCCCTACGCCCAGGAGATGCAAGAGCAGCTGACCCGCCAGCTGGAGGGGCTCTCCTTCCAGATGAAGAAGAGTGTCGAGGACCTGCGCTCCCAGCTCTCGGAACAAACTGAGCAGCTGCGCCTGAAGCTCAGCCCGTATGCCCAGGAGCTGCAGCAGAAGCTGGAGGAGGGCGGGGCGGACCTGCGGGAGTCCCTGGCCCTCTACGCCCAAGGCCTGGACGGCAAGGTCGGCCAGCAGGTGGAAGAGTTCCGCCAGGCCGTGATGCTCCAAGGGCAGAACTTGAACAGGCAGCTGGTGCAGAAAATGGAGGAGATGCGGCAGAAGCTGGAGCCGCACACTGACACTGTGGGAGACCACCTCGTCTTCCTGGAGAAGGATGTGAGGGACAGGTTCAGCTCCTTCTTCGACAGCCTGAGGCAGCTCGGAAACTAAGAGGGGCCCTTTCTGCTTCCGACACAACCCGTCACAGCCCAACATCCCTTATTTCCGGCTCCAGAGCAGCGTTCCTAGATAACGTCTTCTTTGCTTCCCACCCTCTCCAAGGACAGGAATGAGAAGCCAGCAGGATTCAGAACTGTGTGGCTGAGCATTAAGGGGGCCCTTTGTCCCAAATGTAGGCGAGGGGCACCTCCCCCTCCTCTCGGTGCGGCCCGTTCCCATGCAGAGTCAGAGATGTGGATGAAATAAAGGAGCCCCTTTGCAATGAGCCCCCATGACGCTGCCTCTTTGGTTTATTGGGAGACTCGCTGGTGCCTGTGCCAGAAGGACGCTTGCTTTTATTTAAATGTTGATGCCCTGCCTTTCTCCGTGACTCAAGGTGGTTTACAAATGCAATTTAAAACATACAATAACCCACCCCCCAAACAACACCCTCCCCTCTAAAAGCCTTCTCCCCACACATTAAGAAAAGCCCTCTCCCCAAAAGCCTCGCAGAGCCTCCTAGACGCCTCTGCAGATTTTGCCTCCCAAGCCCTCCCCCACCCGCAGGAGACTCATTGTATAGGACGGGAGCTATGATGGGAAGAGCCTGGGCTGGGGCAGACGCCCCGGGGGTGGGGCGGCATCCTAAACAGGGCAACAGCAAGCAGGTCACGCCTGGGGGACTGTGGCCGGTGGTGTCAGGGCACACATGGGAAGAGATGGAATTCTTTTGAAGGGATTTCTTTGGGGGGGAGGGAGGGAATTTGATCACAGTCTGAAGGTTTCTTATTGAGGGGGGCCCTCAGATGAACAATGGAGTGGGGGCGGGGGTGGTTATCACGAATCAGACCTTTCTTGCAAGGAAAACAAAAAGGATTTAAATGCACAGTTTTTTTTTTTAAATCTGAGACGGTGAGGTTGCGGCTTGCCTCTGTGTGATGCCCAGGAACGGTCAAGAGCACTCTGCTTTTTGGGGGGGGGGATGAACAACAAAGAGTCGTCTCCGATGGAGAGCCCATTCCCTGAGCGAAATGAAAGTTTACACAGAGAAGAACAGACCCTTGGAGGTGAAGTGAACTGTGTTTTTGGCCGAAGGGGCTGGGAGTCCTGGGCGTAAAAGTGCACAAAGCCCTTGACAACTGCTGTGGCTTTTCCCAGCCGTCTTTCCTGCCTGTTGTGCCCAGGCGGACCTCTGAAGCGGATCCAGAAACATTCAGCCTGAATGGGTTGTTTTTAAACTCAGATACTTTGTCTACTTACAACCAGTGTTCCCTCTAAGCTGAGTTAGTGTGAGTTAGCTCACAGTCTTTTTAGCCTCCGGCTCACACATTTTTGTCTTAGCTCAGGAAGGGATGGCTCCAGAGCAAGCTAATTTATGCAGTAGCCAAATCACTTGCTCACAACTTTAATGCCAGTAGCTCACAAAGTAGAATTTTTGCTCACAAGACTCCACAGCTTAGAGGGAGCATTGTTTACAACGAACACCTTTCTCAATTAACTAAGACGCTTGTTAAGCTACACACACACAGCCCTGCCTCCAAGTCGCTAATGGTGGATTCTTCTCAGGACCCCTGGTGGATGAGCATGAGGGTAGAAAATCCAGCAGAGGAAATGGTAGGCGGGTCGGGTGGGTGGAGCATCACCAAGTGGGGAGGGGCTTGTGAACCAACTGCCACTGTTTTTTTTAAAAAAAACAGGGATTTCCCTGTTCAAAAGAAGAAGTCTGGTTCCTTGCACTCCTTTAAAAGCCTCCACTTGGGTAGCCCAAACTAGCACCGCAAGCTGCTTGATGAACCCGTTGGTGTGCCCTGACCACAGGCCAGGTTCAAATCATTGGGGGGTATAAGGATCCTGGGGGCCCCTCATCCTTTTTTTTGGGGGGGGGGAGGAGGGGACAATCCTATAGCTGAAGCTAAGAGCCGTCTTATACGGAAGAAAAGGGAGCAAGAAGACTGTGGAGGAAAATGAGGTCTTCATAGATAACAGAGTCATGGCTGAATGCACGCGAGGATTAAATGTTTGCTACACAAGTAAAGCTTTAAAGCGCCGTGTGATGCACAGTGAGAGTGATCTGCTTGCAAACTGGAGGCCTGACTTACTAGCCCAGGAGCTAAACGCCCTCCAGGGCCTGCCTGAGAGATCCCCAGCAGCAGTTTGTGCTTCGCAAACTTTATCTCCGTGAACCTGCTAGTAGACAAGGTCTTTCCAACAGAAACACCCCCCCCCCCCAATGTGGAGATCTCCTGCCACAACAACTGTTGTTCTCCAGACGACTGAGATCGGTCCCCCTGGAGAAAATGGAAGCTTCTAAGGGTGGGCTCCAGTGTTCCCTCTAAGCTGAGTTGCTGTGAGCGCCGAAGAATAGATTCTTTTGAACTATGGTGCTGGAGAAGACTCTTGAGAGTCCCTTGGACTGCAAGGAGATCAAATCAGTCAATCCTAAAAGAAATCAACCCTGACTGTTCCCTGGAAGGCCAGACAGTGAAACTGAAGCTCAAATACTTTGGCCACCCAATGAGAAGGGAGCACTCACTGGAGAAGACCCTGATGCTGGGAAAGACTGAAGGTCAAAGAAGATGGGGACGGCAAAGGATGAGATGGTTGGACAGTGTCATCGATGCAACGAACATGAAACTGAGCAAACTTCAGAGGACGGCGGAAGACAGGAGGGCCTGGTGTGATGTGGTCCATGGGGTCACGAAGAGTCGGACTCGACTGTGCGACTGAACAACAACAACAACAAGCTCAGAGGTTTTTTAGCCTCCAGCTCTCAGATTTTTGTCTTCGCTCAGGAAGGAGGGGCTCCAGAGCAAACGGATTCATTCAGCAGCCAAATCACGTGCTCCCAACTTTAATGCCAGGCGCTCACCACGGGGAAGTTTTGCTCACAACAAGACTCCGCAGCTCAGAGGGAGGATTGGGCTGGGCTCCCTGCCGAGGTCCCTCCCCTCCCCAAGCCCCGCCCTCCTCAGGGTCCACCCCAGGGTGAGTCTCCAGGCGTTTCCCAAGCCAGGGCCGGCCACCCTAACTGTGAACCCCGAGACGCCCTGCGGGACCCACTGAGCAGCAAGCGCCTGGTAGGGAGTCGTAGGATAGGACGACCGTCACGTGGCAGGAAGAGGTGGCCGTCTCTGAACCTGCCCGTGCTGAAGAGGATGCCCCTGCTCTGTGTGCGGTGGGTGGGTCGGGGGGGGGGCTTGACTCTCCACTCCCGGCAGGCCCTCCTTCCAAAAAGGGCTTCTAGGGATTTGGGGGGAGCTGCTGCCTGCCACCCATAGGCTGTGCTTCCTCCTCGAAGACGGAGGGGGTGGGGCTGCAGAGGTCCTGGAGAAGGTCCTGGGATGGATGAAGGCCAATGAGCTGAAGCAATCTGTAATTTCTACCCATTAGATCTAGTCTCGCTCCAGATTGCAAGACTAGATCGAATGGGTGGACATTACAAGGGAGTCGTTACCGGCTAAATCTCAGGAGAAACTTCCCGACTGTGAGAGTGGTTGAGCAGTGGAACAGACTGCCTCGGGAGGTGGTGGAGGCTCCTTCGCTGGACGTTTTCAAGCGGAGGCTGGACGACCCTTTCAGGTACGTTGTAGGGCCATCTTTCGGCTGTGCTCCTGCAGAGTGCGGGGGGTTGGACTAGATGACCTGCAAGGGCCCTTCCAACTCTAACATTCTATGATAAGACATGGGCACTGCTGGTCAACAGCAAAGCTGCTGGGGCACTCCTGTGTCAGCCTGTCACAGAGGAGGCTGGTGTCGTCCCCCCACCCCGGAAGGCATAGGCTAGGGGTGCTACTCGGTCCTGGCCTATGGCTGGAGGCTCACTTCTCTTCCATGCTACATAGCGCTTCCCCCTCCCCCCCCCAGCTTTGCCTGATACGCCAGCAATGGCCATTCCTCTAACAGCATTGCCTGTGTTGAGCCACACTCTGACCACATCCGAGTTTGATCGCTGTAACATGCACAGTGGGGGGGGGGGCTGGCTTTGAAAACCGCCCCCAAATACAGCAGCTCTGCTGTTCTCAAGGGCTTGACACAGAAATCACATATCTCCTCTGCTGAAGGATCTGCATAGGCCACCCGTCTGCTTCTGGGCACGATTCAAAGTGCTGGTTCTTATCTTGAAGGGATGGGAATGCCTCAAGACTGTTACCATATATGGAACAAGAGAGGCCAGATGTTCAAGCTGGATTCAGAAAGAGGAGAGGCACTGGAGATCATATTGCAAATTTACGTTGGTTATTGGAGCATAGCCCAGCCTAGCCCAATCTCATCCGATCTCAGAAGCTAAGCGAGGTCGCCCCTGGCCAGTATTTGGACAGCAGACCACCAAGGAATACTAGGGTCCGTGATGAGGAGGCAGGCTGTGAAGAAACGCATGGTCTCCTGGAGGGTTGGCAAGCAGCAAAAGCCTTCCCTGTGCATTTTACCAGTTTCCTCTCTAGTCTACAAATGCTAATGACTCTAGCGGAAAAGACAATGGGATGGTTAAGTCTTCCCCCTTCTCCCTCCTTCCCCAACCAAGCAAGAGAGTTTGGAGGGCTTTAAGCTAGACCAGCCCCAGATACAATCTCCAGGAATGGGCTGGAGGAAGTGCTTCTTTGACCTGGCAGGACCTGGTCAAGGAGGCGGAGACAGAGAATTAATAAACGTTCCTTGTCAGAGGAAGATGGTCTCTCTTTTCTTTGGGGTGCTGAACAGACCTCTTGTTTGAGGCTGGGAGCAGGCAGCCGTTTTGGACCAGAGAGCTGGGAGAATGCCTCAAGGTAATGGCAGATCTTTAGAGAACTGGAGCGCCTAAGATAAAGCCTGTTCCACATTTTACCATCAGATAGGGCACATACAGCTGAGAGTGACAGAAGAGGATTTACATGTTACCAATTATTTTTTGTTCTTACTTCAATCTGGTGCCATGCTAAAATACGCTTGTAAACATTTTCTTTTTAATAAGTGTTTTAAACTGTTGATGCAAGGACTGGTTCTCTGTACTACACAGGCCCCCACTATTTTGGACACGATCTTTTATAAGGAAGCTCCAGGAAGGGGGGAGGCAAGCGGTTGGCAACTGGCTATTCCCCCAAGGGTACACAAAGCATTAAACCTTCCCTGTGGTATTCAGGCGCTGGGCTAGTGGGAGATGTTGAGGCAAGGCCTCTGAGCTTGGATGGGGAGCTGAGGGTCCTGATCCGTTCAGTGGGAAATCCCTATATTGAAAAGGTGGTGGTGGTGGGCTAATCATGAGCAATGGTCCCTCTAAGCTGTGGAGTCTTGTGTGCAAAAACTCTACTTTGTGAGCTCCTGGCATTAAAGTTGTGAGCGAGCAATTTGGCTACTGCATAAAGTAGTTTGCTCTGGACCGGAGCCCTCCTTCCTGAGCGAAGACAAAAATGTGTGAGCTGGAAGCTAAAAAGAAGAAGAGGAGATTGGATTTATACCCCGCCCTTCACTTGGAGTCTCAGAGCGGCTTACCAGCTCCTTTCCCTTCCCCTCCCCACAACAGACACCCTGTGAGGCGGGTGGGGCTGAGAGAGCTCTGACAGAAACTGCTCTTTTCCAAGGACAGCTGTGCCAGAGCTTGTGACTGACCCAAGGTCACATCAGCAGGTGCAAGTGGAGGAGTGGGGAATCAAACCCGGTTCTCCCAGATTAGAGTCCGCACACTTAACCACTACACCAAACTGGCTAGACTGTGAGCTAGCTCACACTAACTCAGCTTAGAGGGAACACTGTTCATGAGTACAGAAAAAGCCCCTCCAGGGAGTTGGGCACCCCCAAGGAGGGCAGGGTGGAATGGGACTTACAGGCCAGAGTAGGCACATTCTGCCACACAGGCAATGGCAAAACCACCTCTGAAGTCTCTTTCCTTGAAAACCCCAGGGGTCGCCATAAATCAGCTGTGACTTGAGAGCACCCCCCCCCCCCGAACTGGAGCATATGATAGAAATTTAGAAGAAAATCCGCTCATATTTCCTAGAGTATAGCAAAGCTTTTGACTGTGTGGATCATGAAAAGCTATGGTTGGCTTTAAAGGAAATTGTTGTGCCACAACATCTGATTGTTTGGATGCACAACCTGTAACCTGGACAAGAGGCTACTTAGGACAGAATATGGAGAAACAGGAGGGTTTTCAACTGGCAAATGTGTCAGACAGGGATGTATTTTATCTCCCTGTCTCTTCAGTCTACATGCAGAACACATCATAAGGAAAACTGGATTAAATTTAGATTAAGGTGGAATGAAAATTGGAGGGAGGAACATTAACAGTCTGAGATATGCAGATGAAACCACATTACTGGCAGAAAATAGTGAAGACGTTTGAAACGACTATTGATGAAGGTTCAAGCAGAAAGTGCCAAATCAGGATTACAAAACTGAACATCAAGAAGACAAAAGTAATGACTACTGGGGAATTACCAAACTTCAAGGTTGACAATGAAGACACGGAAATTGTTCAAGACTTTATATACCTTGGTTCTATATACACCAAAAGGGAGACTGCAAGCAAGAAATCAGAAGGAGATGGTAACTGGGAATGGCAGCCATGAAGGAGCTGGAAAAAAACTTCTTAAGTGTAAGGATGTGTCGCTGGCGACCAAGATCAAGGTAACGCATGCCACAGTATTCCCCACCACTATGTATGGGCGTGAAAATTGGACAATGAAGCTGACAGGGAGAAAGTTGATTCATTTGAAAAGTGGTGCTGGAGGAGAGTTTTATGGACTGCCAAAAAGACAAATAAGAAGGTTCTAGGGGCCGCGGTGGCTCAGAAGTTAAGATGCTGAGCTGCAGACCGGAAGGTCTGTAATTCGGCAGTTCTAGACCTGAGTGCCACGTGAGGGAGTGCGCTCCCATCTCTGGCCCCAGCTCCTGCCAACCTAGCAGTTTGAAAGCAAGAAATTGCAATGCACCTCAGCGTCTAGTCATGCCAGCCACATGACCACGGAGGAGTCTTCAGACAGCGCTGGCTTGGAAACGGAGATGAGCACCGCACCCTAGTGTCAAATTCGACTGGCTTTCAAGCAAGGGAAACCTTTTAAATAGGTGCCGCTTTGGTGGGAAGGTAACAGCATCCCGTGCGCCTCAGCATCTAGTCATGCCAGCCACATGACCACGGAAACGTCTTCGGACAGCGCTGGCTCTTCGGCTTGGAAATGGCACTGTATCCCTAGAGTCAGATTTGACTGGCTTTCGAGCAAGGGAAACCTTTACCTTTAGACCAAATCAAGCCTGAACTCTCTCTAGCAGCTAGAATTAATTTCACTTTATTGCAGAAACTGGATGTCTCATGCTTTTTATTCCTCCATTAGGGGTGTTCCCCCAACGGGGGGCGGAGAGCCCCTGAGGCCCGGCGAGCCCCCACGGCAGAGAAGAGGCTGGCGCCCGAGTGTGCCGGGGCCCCCCCACACCGGAAGTGCCCCCCTCCCGAAAGGAGCTGGATGAGGGAACTACCAGGCGGCAGACTCTCCTCGTGGGACCTTCGCCCGGGGGGGGGGAGAGGGGGGGGCTGCCTGCCCGGAGTCCTTCCTCCCTCCCCCCCCCCGTG